TATTATTCTTTAGATATCGACTAAATTATTTTATCTTAAAAAAAGAAACCAAACTCGAAAGTTCTCCTTAAATTAAATTTACTTAATAAATTTATTTACTTAAGATAATATTTGATAATAAGTTCAATTCACCATAAGTTCAATAATTATTTTCATCACCATTCAACTAACTAACTTTAAATTAATAATGATTTTACAATCAATGATCATTAATTCTAAAAAAAAAAATTTTAAGGTGAATCCAGTTTGAAAGAAAATAAATCACTTCATATTTGAAAAGGTAATTCTGTTGTAATTCACTTACTTCAACACAGTGAATTTCGCACTTTTAAAATAATTCAGATAATTAAAAACCCAAAACTTCCCTTGTAATTCCTTATTCACATACTTTTTTTGATTATTTCTTTAAAATAGAAAAAAAAAGGCGGGAATCATCAAAATGCAAATATGTATCCTCATTCCCTGAGTGTAATTTAAACTTTTTTTTAGAATTGTTTTCACTTATTGTTGTTGTTGTTTTTTTTTTTAGTTTGCTAACTAAATAGATTGATTGTTACAAGTAGTATTATTTGTTTTTGTCATGTTATCTGTTTTGTGTTTTGAATATAAAATAGAAAAAGGTGTTAAGTGTTTATATTATCAAGTTGATAGTTTTACAAATTAGTAATTCAAATGTTAGTAAACAATTTGTTGCGCTTTTAATGAAGTGTACACTATATTGAAAATTGTTTTTGAAAAGTTGAACAATGATAATCGTATTTAATAAGTTGTGAGTACAATATTTTAAAAATTACTCTTCAATAGGATGGATGCATTCACTTTTTCTCATAGATCCTGAGTTTAAAAAATTACGTGATACTTTTCAATGTCGTAAAACTCATTCTTTTTTTTTTCTTAAATCATATGTTTGATCTTTTTCCAATACTATTGAAAGTGTTGTCGATTCTATCCATTGTCCTAAAAGTTCCATGTTCGTGTGCTAGTGTAGCATGGTAACATATTTAACATGTTTTTATGCCACTAATGACTATTCAGCTAATTTTTCTATATACCACTGTGTATCTCAGAAAGTAATTTATAATTTTAAATAACTATGATATGACATTTATGTATTGTACTTGTTACCTATCAGGCTGATTAGATTCGGAAAATATAAAAACATTTTTATATATTTTATTAATAATCTCTCTCAGTTGTTAACTGCCTCATATTACACTAATTTGTATATTTCTCTATTTTTTTTTGTCAAGATATTCTAGTTCACACAATCATTGTATTCCATACTGTTATGTATTATTTTAAGCAATGATGCATGCTTACTTATACTTTTTCCAAAAATTAATGTACAGCAATGTCAATGAGGAAAAAAATGGGAATTATTTCGATGCTCTTGGGAAATCAGTTTTTTTTCTTTCAATTTAACGTTTACTTAAAACAGTGACTAGATATATACATATATCTATAATTAGATAACAAAAATATTCATTCTTATCTGATGATAATAATAATCACCGAAACAATAAATCACATCTGTCTATCTATTGTTTAAAAATATACTGACGATTTCGATAAGCCTACTTCATATTGATTGGAATATCAATCAAAGCGCGTATTCAAAGTATCAAAGTTATTTTTTTTCTTGTAATTTTACTCAAACAAATACTATTTGGTTACGTGAAATATTTTTGGCAACGAAGCATATTCATTATGTTAGTTGATGGTAAATGTTAAAAAAAACCCTCTAGCTAATCTAAACTTGGCTAAACACAAAACCTTAAACTGATCATGTGCTTGTCGTTAAAACATTATCCATATATGATATATTAAATCAACTGAGAACCTCAGTTCATCTGTCTCAGAGTTTTATGTATTTGCAGAATTCAACTAATTGACAGTAAAAAATAGTTTAGTTTTAAATTTGAAAATAATCTATAATTTCAACCATAGAAACTACATTCAGTAAAGATTTTCTCAAGTTCAAGTTCATTTAACTTAGAATAAATGGTATGATTCTTAGAGGTTAACCTTATCAAATGTAATGCTTACAATGATATTTTCTAATTCTATCAGTGATATGCGATATTAAACTGCATTTTGATGAAATATTTCATCTTAATCAAATTTTCGCAAAAAAATAAACTAATTCTGAAATATTTAAATACCAAATGCGAAATTCATGCAATTAAATAACTTGAAGTAATCTACAGTAGTATACTTATTGATTGAGCATTATTAGATAAATCACGTAACGTAAAAATAGATCGAAACTATTGAACTGGTTAATTCTTAACAATCAATAATTTAAGCATGATGGTATTCAGTGCATAATTATTCCATAAATCAATTCATTGAAATGCGTATGGTATTTGACGGAAGTTTGGATTTAATGAGTAATGCATAATTTATCAATCTAATATTCAATGTTAGACGACACCTAGTATAATTTTCGGAACTCTGTCAGTACTTCAACTCAAAGAAATTATATTTCTTAATAGCCTACTATGATATTTGTTGTTTATAGCTGCACTTTCGGTCACTTCATAAGATGTAGAAATTTTGTGTAATTTGAATTCCATAATATATATATATATATATATATATATATATGATATACTCGCCAAATGAATGCTTGAAACTATTAAGAGTTCATCTTACTCAGTGACGCGACAGTCCATTCTAATCTGTTTGTACCAGGCCCTGCTAATTAGATCAAGAAGTCTTGATAAGTCTTAGAAAATGTATTCTACAAGTATCCAGATAATACGAGGTTGACAAGCACACAAATCAAGCTTATTTATACACTGGTAGCAATGCCCTTGGGATAGCCACAAAATAGCGTACTAAAATAATTCATCAACGAATGACAGTCAAAGATTTTCCGAGGGAGAAATGTAAGCTGAAGGTAAACTGGCGCAAAAACGTGGAAATTCAAAAATTTCAGAATGAAATTACAAAATTAGGACTTTTCTAAGTGAGTTGTGGAGATCTAACGTCCTCAACAATATAGATAGCTATACGTATATATATATAGCCATAAGCATATCTATATCATTTAACAGTATATAATTAAGGACGTTACAGAACATAGATGGAGAATTTTGTAAATTATACAAGTATTTATCTTATTTAGTCATTCTCTGTGAACTTCAAATTCAACCTCACAAGTGGATTGTTTGTACAGAAATATTGAATTTAAAATGCAATTTCAATTATAGTTTATTATTTTAAAACTAGAACGCATAGAAAGTTCCAGTTATATATGAAATTTGAATTGTTCCAAAACTTTTTTGTGTTACACCTCTTAGTTTTTACCATGTTACGCCCACATGTAAAGTACTATTTTTTTAAAACTTCTTATTGTTATACGTAATATAAAATTTAACAGGTATATTAACTTATGAACAAGATACAAAATGAGTAGCTGGTCAACTGATATTCGCATGTTTAAGTTTCCTCATAAACAATATCGACTGTTTGAAAATTTCGATGATAGATTTGTTTAAAGACTGATATGAATAGAAAGCCGATTGCGAAATCATTATGTTATGTGAATTTGGAATCCACTGTCGATGTTCTTCTGTAGCCTAGCTCAAGGTTTAACTCAGTAGCCCAATGTTTATTTAAGCAAAATGATAGTTAATAATACTCAAAGCAATGTAACTATGTAATATGTGAAATTAAATAAAAATAGATCTCCAAAAACTATCTGCGTAATTAATATGCAAATTACCGAATACTGATAATTTGATGAGTTATTTGAATTAACAGACAGTATCAGATGAATTTCTCTGTTTTAAACAAATATGACCAGTTTGTAGATAAATATCTGAAATATTTAATTAACTGTCAACTATTATAATTAAATCGTTATCTGGATCCGTGCTCTACAGTTTTTGATTGAGATTGAAGTGGTTCTTTCTATGAAGAGAATGATCATTTTTAAAGATGTTACATAGTCTATAGATAATTATTGTGAACTGTAATGAGACTATTAATGATAACACCATTAGATAGATTATACTGATAGTTGACCACTCAACTCCTGGCTCTTCTGTTTAATTAAGCTAAGAACTACAATTTTAAGATAGTTTTTGTGAGAGAGAGAGAGAGAGAACTATGGGAACACATGAACATTGAATAGCTGTTTGGTTTAAAAATGACAATCTAAATTGCTCAAACACAATTTCATACTGCACAAAAGTTGATACTCTTGGACAGTTAATCAAGATTCCATCGGTAAACACTTGCAACTGCAATCAATCTCAAATATAACACGATAATTAATAAACCCTACCATCTACAAGACTAAACGGAACTTAGAAAATACATGAACATTGATTCGTTGAATTATTTCTGGAGATTAATTAAAACTGGAAATGGTTTCATACTGAGTCCTCCATTAAACATGACATGAATTACGAACTACAATTTGATTCATTTCTTATAACATTAACCAGGGATTTTTTGACAATCGTTTTAAAATAAATTGAAAATGCCATACAACAGGCTTTCAGTGAGACCTACAAAATACTGTTAGTATGTTCAAATACTTTACTCATCTGTTCAGATTGAAATATTGCTTTCACTGATTTACCATCATTGAATATAACCCAAAAACTTAAATGGTATAAAAAAAAACACTATATCCAAATCATGCCATAATATTTAAGTATAGTAAGCATAATCTCTCATACTTGATAATATAAATCAATTAGGTGAATAGTTGAAAATCTAGAGGTTGATTGTGATAGCTTACAACATAAGAGAATTTTATTCGTACAGTGCTTCCTCTACATCATAAACAAATTACACCTGACTTACACAGTATTCATAAACTCATGAAGATTAGGATTATTTGTTATTTATATAGCACTAAGGAAAGCAAATAAATGCATTGAAACAATTTACAAATAATCCACTTATCGAGATAATTAAACTCCTTAGAAAAATTTTATCTATAAAACATAATACGTCAGAAAGTACAAACTAAATTAACTCACTTGAACTCAATGTAATTTCTTCCAAGTCGGCTATTCTAGGAGGGAAATCTTTTAGATGAGTAAATTCAAGTACAAGAGAATCACTGTCAATATATGGCACATCATTATCTTCGCATTCATAACTACTGAACATTTCTTTCTCACTATTCATGTTGTCAGTTTTAACTTTATTCGTTACTGATGGTTTATCATTGGTAGTATCACTAGTGCTATGATTAGTTTGATGAATGTGAATGTCTTTACTTTGAGAATTATATTTATTTATGGAATGTGTACAGTCATCATCCCAGCGATAGGTGGTTTGATTCTGTAATTCTAGATCACGTATTCTTTGTATTACACTAGAATTATGTTTATTAACATATTTTGAATTAGGTAAATTTCGATCATTGTAAAACTTTTTATTCTGTACATGAATATCATCTTGATATAGATAACCATTTTCATCGTCATCATCATCTTCGTCATCCAGTTTGTCTTCATCTTCATCATCACAACCATAATCATAAAAACTTCTTTTCTCTTCCATTTCATCACTGGTTTGACAAGAAATCCCTGTCGAATAATTCAGTTTCACATCACGACTTAAATATTGTGGGAAAAATCTCCTACGTGCAGGTGATATATCATCATGACAAGAACTACTATGTGCCCCTTCATTTGTAATGTTTTTATCTGAACTCAAATCATCCTTACTGATAGTCTGTTTGGATACACCTTGTGAATCCAGTTTAAAACAATCACTTTGATGTTCATTTTTCACTTTTTCTAGTATACTACTTAATTCAGCGTCTGATTTTACCAGTAGATCACTTACACCAACAACAGCTGGGGATCTTTGTAATGGACGAAATAAACTGTTAATATTATTATTTAATTTTCCTTTTAAACTTTCCGAATAACTTGACTGTTGTACAGGATTAGACTGTTTGTTAGAAAATTTCTCATCAAAATAAGAATTTTTTACAGTATTCATTCCCAAATCATCGTGTTTTTTGGGATTATCGTTGATAAGTTTGTTGTTGAAAGGAGAGTTAAAATTTGTCGAGGCTAATTTGGACTCGTTTGCTTCATGTTTATTCATTACAAAAGGATTTTGTTGATAAGAATTTGAAAATAATTTTGAATAGTCTATAGGCTTAAAATCAGGACTTTTAACATGATGATAGGTTATCGGTTGACTATTGAATGTCATTCCATTTGAATTGTGTTTTTCTTCAAATAATATAACAGGCGGTAAACTGTCTGTTTTGTCTTTATACTTTTTATGCTGATTACACAATGATGATGATGTGTTGAAGTTTGTCTGAAGCTGATCTGCTTTTGAATAAATGTCATTTTTCTCTTCCATAAAACATCTTTCAGATGGATTTTCGGGAGCAATGGAAATTGAATAATTAAAGTCATTATGAGTTGCTGATAGTGTATAGGAAAAGTCACGTGACACTGGTTTAAACGTAGACACACTCGTGTGATTGTTTGTCTGGTTTAAAGAATAATTATTTATCTGTGAAGGAGTATGTCTGTCTAATAATCCAGATTGTTGTATTTGGTTAAGCATGTTTGAATTGTCATTCAAACCTTTAATAAAAGATTTTCGATCTATAGGATTTTTGGAAAAACTAGAGGTTGAATAGTTTTGATCATGACTGATTTGCGGCGTAAAAAACTGTCTATTTTCTTCACGCTTATTATTCGAATCTCGAAGAATGTTCGATGATGCGTAGTTTTGGATTAGAGGGTTATTTGAATGATTATTGAATGATGAGATGCATCCAGTACATAATGGTTTCTGGTTCAGTGCGTCTTTATTAAAGTTTTTATGATAACTTTTTATTGGGTCATTACTTGTTGTTACTTCTTTAGGCATAAACGAAAATGGCATTATGTGGCTCTGTGGATTCTCTGCAAATGAAACATTTGGTGTAATATAAGATTTTTCATTGTAAACTGGATAATGTTTAGTATAAGCCTGTGTGGACAAATCGGAAGACACGAAATCATATTCAACACCTTTCATTGGTTGAGCACACAAATTAGAGAACTGAGTTCGTGTCGAATTCTGTATTGATGTTTTACAAATATTGTTTGTATTAGGTTCAGAAACAAATGGATGAAATGTAGAGAACAAATTTCTCGATGAATTTGATGGTTGTATCACTGTACTAGTAGCGTTTTCCAATACAAAATTATCTTTCGTCAACTGATCTGGAATATCTTTTGTCTTACCATAAGGAGGACACTTTAAATAACTCCTTTCATGCATAACAGGGTAATGGTGAATATTTTCATTATCATTGAAATGTTTGACATTTTCATCTGTTTTATAGTACCCTAAAGAAGATGTCATTGTTGGTTGACTTGGTGTCAATGTCCAACATAATTGATTTTTGTTAAAATTAGTTGACAATATTAATAATTCTTCATCAACCGCTTCATCATTCCAAAGAGGTAAACTAATACCTTTGTGTGATTTATTGACTTTGTTCAAGATGAATCCTTTTTGATTTTCTTTAAATTCTTCATATATTCTGTCAAATCCTTGAATCTTACCATTATTATTATTATTATTATTATTATTATTACTATTAATATCACTATTTTTATCATTATTGTTAGTAACATTAGTAGAAGTAGTAGTGAAAGCAGTAGTAGCAGTAGTAGTAGTAGTAGTATTAGTAGTAGTAAAAGTAGTAGTAACAACTGTCAAATTATCATTTTTCATTATCGATGAAATCATTTCATGTGATAGTTTTTTCGATAATTCATTTTCATTGGAAATAGTTTTTTTACTCTCTAATGTAACAGGTAGATTAATAGTCCAAAAATCACATAGTTGTTGATGACCGTCATTAATCTTCATGGCATTATTATTAGGATTATTATTATTATTATTATTATTATTATTATTATTATCCGATGAAAGTTCATCATGTTGTTTGTATTGATTCAGCAAAGATGAATTAGTTACTGTTGGTAGATAATTTCCAAAATCACTATTTATACAATGATGTTCATCATTATCGCCTATCATTACAGATAAATGATGATGATTATGATGATTTGTCGGAAAATCATTTTCACATACTTTCAATTCTGTATCAGTACAAAAACTTATTTGATCTGTATCAAATAATTCATTATTAAATGTTCCATTTTCAGATGTTTCTAATTCACTTGTCTCTTCAGCAATTGTTTCTAAAAATGCATTACTATACGATGCAATCAATGGTAATTCAATAAATTTATTATTGACCGATGATAACATTTCACAATTTGATGAATTGTTATAATTTGTAATATTCTGATTGTTGTGAATAGTACTAGCAATAGTAGTAGTAGTAGTAGTAGTAGTAGTAGTATTGATATGTTTAGAAGTTTTATTCTCAATCATACTCTATAATTAGAACCGATTTTAGCTGTATTCTTTTTCTCTTTTCCACACAACATAATCATTACATACTTCCGGTTAAATAATTTTTTGAGTTGAATTGTCACTTTATCGATGAGAAAATATCGATGATGATGATGATGATGATGATAACAGTCTGTTGGATAATTGAAACCACGATAAAGAAAAAACAACTCCTTACATCATATCATATCGTTAGTGGGATAACATGATGTTTTTTGCTTGTTATTTCGTTCTCTATCGATTAAGTAAATAGAGTGAAACATTTTTAATCATTTCATTAGAATAATTAAATTGTTGCATTCCGAACTATCAATCCAAATTGTGTCTGTTCGCCAATAAATAAATCATAAAAACAAAAAAGTGACTTCATCATACAGATTCATTGTGTGCATTGTACATTGTAGTCATTTTGTGACCTGAGTTTATTCTGGTTTATATTTTTTTTTGTTATTGTTATTATTGTTGCTTTATTTCCACAATGATTGGGCGTTACTTCCCAATACAAATGCTTACTGGTCGGTTGGAAGAATAAGGTTAATTTTGTTTGGACAAAATTGAAAACAACCCATGAACACTGAACACACAAACAAGAACATACACACACACATTAATAAATCTATTTCTATATACTGTGTATGTCGATAGGCACATAGGTACGCATACAACTACGGTCTAAATTGTGTGTCTTTATAAATGAGGTTTTCTAAGTGTTTTTAAAGTTCATTTATTATTGAAGGTCAGCTGTATAAAACGACAGGTGTTTGTTTCACGCTCATCAATTTACATTACACCAAAAAGAGTACGGAAAAATTGTGTTTGATGCAAATAACAAATTACTGTGAAATGATCAGCAATAACTATTACGCCAACAACAATGTTTATAAACACGAAATATCAATTAATATATACTTTGAGACAAATGGGAATATATTTTCAATTGAATCGGTTTTTTTTCAATTAAAAATAACGTTTAAACTCAATTATTTATTTTCAGTTAGAGCTTTGGAGATTTGTGTTTTTTACACATTTGAAATCATCAATCAATCATTGTTAGACCGCCACTAGAAACCTGGAAGCACTGGACGGCCGCTTCTTCCTGGCATGGGACTCATCAGCAGTGCGCATCCACGATGGTTAGGCGTTCGCGCACAATACCGAAGGTCCCGGGTTCGAATCCTGTAAGGTGCAGGAGTTGTGGATGCGCATTGCTGATGAGTCCCATACCAGGACGAAACGGCCGTCCAGTGCTGGCGGGTTTCTAATGGTGGTCTAACAATGATTGATTGATGATTTCAATTATTTATGTGCTCACTAAAATCACCAATTGATCAACGTTCATAAATCATTTGTTGATCAAAGTTGAAATTTCCTAGATGAATTTTTCGTCGCAAACTAAATCATACTTTAAAAAACATAGCGACTCATCAACCTCATTCCCTAAAATTCATGAGCTGATCGAACACTGATAGATTAAAATAATAACGGACTTGTAGTCAATGACTAAACGAGGAGACATATACGAGCATGTATGCATGTAAATATTATCTGCAAAACTTAACGGTTTTAGCTTAAACTTAAAAAGTTGAACAGGATTAGTGAAGAAAAATTTGTCATACACCAAAAGGTTTATAAAGATTTGTATATTAGTTTAAAATAACTTTTATTTTCATATTTAAGTCTACGAGCGATATTCCACTTGGCAGATCATTTTTAGAACATCATTAGATACCTGGAACTTGATTGTGAATTTTATTGATGTTTTTTTTTAAATTCACAATAAAGCGAACAAACTTTTAAGTAGATTTCCTTATCATCTCTTTTTTCACTCTTTTCCTCTTCATTTATCTTCCAATTATTGCATGAACACACACAAATTCGTCTGGTCTATTAATTTTCGTCAGCGCTTAGTAAGTATTAACGAAATAATAGCGTTTTATGACATTATATTTTCAGTTAAATGGATGTTTCTAAACTCTAAAAACTATGGTAAGATTCCAGGTCTATTGACACTGTTTAAAAAAACTAATAAATCGTCTGGAGAAATCGAGCAAATAATTATGTACTATGATATTCAGCGGTTGGATGCAGCAAGCAGGAAACCTCACTATTAGGTTTCACCTTAACTGACACTCACTGGTAAGACATCCCTTTAATGTTTGGGCGGCCAATAGTCCTGGCAGAGTTTCAGTCAGTGTCACCCGATTCCATAATATGAAGGGTAATCGATGAGATACTCTTCTAGCTACTGACCTCCCACAAGAAAGAGACATTTGCACTGATCGATTACTAACTGGTAAATAAAGTCTCAACACACATAATTTAACATCAAAGCATAGTACCTATGATATCAAGTTGTTCTAACAAGTGGCCACACCGTAATCAGAATTCGATAAGCACTAAGAAATAAATTAGCAAGACATCTATCACTACTCAGTGATCATTCAATGGAAATACATTACCTTTTTAGAAAGACTCAAATTACATTATTGCATTCGCTGGATATTTGACTACCTCGGTACCTGCTACTTCAAATAGTGAGTCGGATAACTCAAATAAGAACATGAAGACAGTAGATGAGAATTGATTTGAAAACCAAAATAAATTAAAATTTATATCTGGATGCATTAATTTTTATGGGCTTAACATTGATTAATAGTCAGATTTATGTGCGTTAAACTGAGTAGTACTTAACACTAGTTAATGGAAAATTTATTGAAGAAACATTATTCATCCGTGACCAACAGATATAATATGATTATTTCTTAACACGTGATTGCATTTGCTAGAATGGTGGAGAAACAAATCAATATCACTCAGATCAACTAAGTCCTTGCTCAGTATATTACAAATACGCAAACTGCTGGATAACACAATGAGTGAGCATGAAAACCTAACGTTTAACTTGAGTGCATTTAACAAACAGTAATTTTTTATGTATTCATTAAGAATTTATAATTTTTTTCCTCTGTAAGATGTCTGCTATATGTCAGTGCACTTACAAAATAACCCATATTCAATTCATTATTCTTTTAGACTAACGTAATTCACAATCCAACCAAAACACTTACAAATAAACATTACTTTTTAAATACACGATTTAATAAGTTAAAAGTTAAAACAAAACCAAATTTTACAAATAACAAAACTTGAACTGAATCACAATGAGAAAATTTCACTGTTTTTTTACGGCAAGATCACTGAAAATGTATTGGGTTTACGTTTGTCTCTGAATTGTGTTTTGTAGTCATTGGGAAGTATTTGAATTATAAAGGTGATAGTGATTTTTTATTCGATACTAAGAACCAAACGTAAATACATCGATGCTGTTCAAGAAGTAATATTTTATTTAATAATTATCATCTTTAAACGATAACTTTATGTTTTGAGTTGATTTCGTTTTGTTTATCACATGATCTTGTTTTCTAATGAGTTTCATCATCAACATTCTAACAATATGATAAATGAATATTTAACTGAAATACAAATTCTCTACCAAAATATCAGCCTTGCGAATAATGCAATCACATTTACTCAATAATGACTAGTTTCAAGATGGATGTCCTGAAATTCTATATGTACAGCATATCTTATGGCATGAACTATGTAAGAAGAAGAAAGCAAAACGTTCCCGAAATAATCACTATTCATGATTTGAATAATTAAATGTACAAATGATTAATAAAAGAAGAATAATGACAAGATTGAAAATAATGATTCAACCGTATAATTATTGGTTTAGCGGTCTATTTGGTTAAGCTACAAATAATAACTCCCGATGAAATTATGAATTTCAATGCAAACATATAAAGTTGTGGCAAGAATATTCAACTGGCTGATCATGCAATATTTTCTTAGCCAGTAAAATTCCATTCTATCAGTATGAGAAAGAAAGTTGTTCATAATGTAGATTATTTAACATAAATTTGGCTCATTTAAAAAAACAAATGAATTTTTTAAGGCTGAAAATGTGTGTGTGTGTGTGGATGAGCAATGTCCAAATTCATTGAAAAAAGTACCCAACTAATTCTGACAGTTCTCATCGGTCTAGAATTCTTTAGCGAATTTCTGTTCACAAAAGAAATTACCGTTAACCCTATAACTAAATATAATTTTTTTTTTCAAATAAACCATGTGATCCAATAACTTAGTTAGATGTTAATAAATCAATATTCTGATTTGTTTTAATTGACAACAGAAATATTAAAAAGTTATAAAATAATCTCAACTGACAAGAATTAATTCTGTTTACTTTTCTTTAAGTAAAATATACACTTCCTTTTAATAAAAACACAACAGGTTTAATTGTACACAGATTTGATTAACAGTATTGAATTATTTTCTTAAGCCGGAAAATTAAAAACCTGTCCTTCATTGTGTAAATTTATTCCATTTTTTTCTGGAAAGGAAAATCAATGTCAAACGTTCTGTGAAGTGTTCATATTATATATACTCTTCCTGTTTACAAAATTGATTTGTAAATCATTAAAATAAGAAAAAAATTGTAGTTTTGTTTAAATAAAATCAATCCATTGTTTGTTGAATGGTGTTTTAGGTTTGAAATTTAGGTCATGCTCATTCAACTTATCATTTTATTAAAATCTAATTATTTAAATAAATCAACCAGAAATTGTTTTCAGAAATAATTATTATTCATATATATATATATATATATATGAATAAAATCTATAACGAAATCAAATCAGTAACTTTTAAAAAGGTGTTTTTATTACACACTGACTTCAGTGAGCCAACTCTATTCGAAAATATATAACACTGAACATCTGTTTTGTCTTAATATTCTTCTCCTTAATGATATACATCCATGACTTTTAGGATTTCTGGCAAGCACGTTGAAAAGTCAAATTGAAATCTGACAGCCCATCTTCAGAGCTTCAGTCAATCTGCAATATTTTGAACAAGCCTCAAATGTTATCGATGGTAAATGTCTTACTCGAAATCTAGTTGAACTCGATCGATCAACTCTTTTTACTAAAATTAAAATTTTCCAAAGTCCATTATTAGTGAGTAACTGATTACGACTATTAGAATGAAAGATTTGTGCAGATTGTTCATTTCCAAGTTTGCTAGTACTTAATGTCTACTCTTCTCAAATTAAATAATATTCACAAACTGCTTATTTTGATGACAAGAATTTTTGTTGATTCTTCTGTCACTGCAATAATAAGTGAAACTTAGGTATTCATAATTCCATCATATCATAACTAATACAAACAAAGCTCATGAAACTGTGA